AGCGCCGCCGCGCTTCCCAAGCGGCGCACTATCCAGTGCGCCACCGGGCCGGCCCCACCACAGCTTTTCCGTCAGTGCTCACGCCTTGCCTCTTATCTGAACATGTACTGTCCTTATCACTTGTGCACTGTAGGCTCCTTGAGGGCAGAAAAAATGAATTTTTGTCTTTGTGCCCTCTAACGTGCCTAACAGAGCACTAAATACATCTGGATGTATTTCTGCCCTTTTAGAAAATAAATTCAAGAAGTTATTCTTCCATTGCAATAATGACTGTTATGCTATTTTTCTCTGACCTCATGGAATTGTGAAGATGTTCCTCTCATTCAAGGAGTGGATTTTAAATCACGTACCTCTCTTCTCCACAGGTTCCCATAAAATGAGTCTGTCCTCTTGGTACTATGACCGGGGTTGGGCCAAGATCTCCAACATGACTTTGAGTAATGGAAAACTAATAGTTAACCAAGATGGCTTTTATTACCTGTATGCCAACATTTGCTTTCGACATCATGAAACGTCGGGAGATCTAGCTACGGAGTATCTTCAGCTGATGGTGTATGTCACTAAAACCAGCAACAAAATCCTGAACTCTCATACCCTGATGAAAGGAGGAAGCACCAAATACTGGTCAGGGAATTCTGAATTCCATTTTTATTCCATAAACGTGGGAGGATTTTTTAAACTGCGATCTGGTGAGGAAATAAGCATCGAGGTTTCCAACCCTTCCCTGTTGGACCCAGATCAAGATGCAACGTACTTTGGGGCTTTTAAAGTTCGAGATATAGATTGAGTCTCATTCTGTGGAGCTTTATGATGTATTTCCTAGATGTTTGGAAACATTTGTAAACAAGTCGAGAAGGTTGTATATAGGTGTGTGAGACTACTAAGAGGCATGGCCCACAGCAATACAAGATTCATTGTCCATGCGCTTGACCCTGTAGAGAGGTTACATATTTACAGCCAATGAGAGATGTTGGACTCATGGTGTGTTACACAATGGTTTTAAAATTTTGTAATGAATTCCTAGA